GGCTAAACAGTGTACGCAGTAACTCTGTTTGTGTCGATCTTCGATTTCTCTGATCAGCGAAATTCCTTTTCGGGCGTGCCGTTCTTCGCTAGTGGCCATGGGTTTCCGTGGATGGAGCGAACCATTTGGACTGCTCACTATTGCAACACGACAACAAACTAATCTGCCGCTGGGAACATGCATACAGCTCTGGAACGGCACACTCCAATGACATGATGGCAAGTCACTATACATTGTTGAGTACGGTGCAGCACATGCTGAAGAAAGGAAACAAAAGATTGGCTGTCTATGGAGCGAAGTGGGTGTCACAGCACGGCAGTTCATTGGAATGAACAGTTTTTCAAGGGCCGATGGCAGTTACATTGGCTGAACACACAACAACACATTTTGTGTCCCATTGTGGTCAGTTGGATAGAGCATAGTTTACTTTATAAGGTGGAATATCTCAACAAGAAACAGACACTAGCATTTGGTGGAGTAGGAATAGTTCGAAGGTGGCACAACAATGATGGCCCCTCACTTTTCTTGTCGCGATAAAAGCACGGAGAGGATGGGTTTTTCACACTTTTAAGAAATACCCCGTGGGACATCCTTAAACGCATGTCATAGTCTCTTTTTAAAAGCTTCAGGATCGTCTCCTATTTCGAAACGAACTTCTTTTAATTAAATAGAAAATCGTCTTTTCAATCGTTTTGAGACGATGGTCATCGTCTCTTATTTGAAACCATTCTTCTATTAAATCCTACAGTATGATTCGTCTCCTATTTAAAGTTGCCACGGCTGGCTTTTCGTGACGTTTCCACAGAGGTCCTGACATCCGATCTATTGTGTTCCTTGAAGCGACTTTGGTTCTGAAAGTGCCATAAAACAAACACTTTCAGATCCTGACAATAGCCACCCAAACATGACATCCCATCCAGCGACTACCACCCGTCGATACTCTCGATTGACCTTTGGCGTTTACCATGCCAAAGATCCTGTTAAATACAATGGAGTTTCTACTCCAGTGGAGAGACGCACCGATCTTGGTATTCAAGGATTGGTGCCTGCTGCTTTCGTTCCCTTGGAATTGGATGTTCAGCGTTGTATGGAGCAGCTCCGAAGCAAGGCCACTCCCCTTGAAAAGTACATCTACCTTCAAAGCATTCAAGACGTTTCCGAGCGGCTATACTATGCCATTCTCGTTGCTCACACTGCAGAAGTAATGCCAATTGTGTATACCCCAACCGTGGGGGCCGCTTGCGAGAACTTTTCCAAGACATACCGAGGCACCTTGCGAGGCATGTATTTCTCGTTGAAGGATGCTGGGAACATTCGCAAGATCTTTGACAACTGGCCTTCCCAGCATGTCACAACCATTGTGGTCACCGACGGAGAGCGTATCCTAGGACTGGGTGATCTTGGAGTAAATGGGATGGGCATTCCTATAGGTAAGTGCAACTGCAACCTCGGCCCGAGCCCACATTGTGAATGCTGAACGCACTGACACTCTGCATTGGTTGCAATGCTGCTATCCATCGCACCGGTAGGCAAACTCGCCCTTTACACGGCCTGTGCTGGGATCCACCCTGCCCATGTCCTTCCCGTGCAGCTAGACGTTGGGACCAACAATGAGAAGAACATTCAAGACCCTTACTACCTGGGCCTCAAGCAGCCTCGAGAGCGTGGTCCCGCCTACGATGCCTTGGTGACAGAGTTCTTTGAAGCCGCCATGGACAAGTTTGGAGAGGATGTCTTGATTCAGTTTGAAGACTTTGGCAACCTGAACGCCTTTCGTCTGCTCGATGCGTGGAAGGACAAGGCTTGTACGTTCAATGATGATATTCAAGGAACAGCCTCTGTGGCAGTTGGTGGATTGCTAGCTTCTGAAAAATTGACTGGAAAGAAACTGTCAGAACACACCTTCTTGTTCAGTGGTGCCGGAGAGGCTGGGACTGGCATTGCCGAGCTGATGGCTTATGCCATTTCCATAGAGCTGTCCATCCCAGTGGAAGATGCCCGAAAGAAGATCTACCTTGTAGACTCAAAGGGATTGGTCACCAAATCTCGTTTGGAGAGCCTGCAACACCACAAGCTGAACTTTGCACATGATGTGGCTGACTGCAAAAGCTTGAAGTGTGCTATTGATGCACTCCGACCATCTGCCATTATTGGAGTCTCTGCCATGCCGGGTACCTTTGACAAGGAAGTTTGTGAAAAGATGGCTCAGTACAACGAACACCCAATTATTGCTGCATTGAGTAATCCCACATCCAAGGCAGAGTGCACCGCCGAACAAGCGTACACTTGGACCAATGGCAAGGCCATCTTTTCCTCGGGAAGTCCCTTTGCCCCCGTCACGTTGGCTGATGGCCGTCGATTCGTCTCAGGTCAGGGAAACAATGCGTACATTTTCCCAGGAATTGGTTTGGGCAGATTGGCTGCATGCTCCACGCGGATTACGAACCATGATATGTACCTTGCCGCGAAGGTTTTATCGGAGCAAGTGACACAGCAGGAGCTGGACGTTGGCTGTTTGTATCCCCCGTTGAGCAAGGTGAGGTTAGAAAGTTTTGACTGCCTCTTTGCCTCTACAGAAACCTGACTCCTTCCTGTACACCGTATTCTTCACTACCTGTAATCTCAGATTCGAGAAGTGAGTGCTCACATTGCCGTAGCAATTGCAAAGAACGCACATGAAACTGGAGTTGCCACCGAAGCCATGCCAGAAAACTTGATGGAACATGTGAAGAGCTTGATGTATGATCCTTTTGAAGATCCATACGTGGAACAGTAGAAGGTTCAAGTTGATGATCGAGAGTCCAGAGAGGACAACAGAATCGCATCCACAGGACATTGTAGCATGGTCGATTGAATGAAATAAATGATATTCGGCTTTCAACTTTTATAATTTGCATCAAACACGCAAGCTTATCCATGAGGCCTGACGTATCAAAGCTGTCGTATCTATGTATTTCTTATTGCTACATCCACTATGGTTCTTACCATTCCGACGGGTATGTCATCCTACAAGGATTCCTGTTTTCCATTGCATGTTTGCGTTGCTCAAGGTAGCTAGCTAGTTGTTTCTTTAGTTTTCAGTTGCTCCGTCTATTCATTCCTAAACAAAAATTCCTTGGTGTTTGTTTTTCTTGGTTCATTCATTCATTGCGCTGCTTGCACTGTGGCCTTTTCTGGTTCTTGTGGTTCGACGACAGCCGCCACTACCACAACTTCCTCGTCAACCTCAATGGCACCACGGGTAAAACTGACATAGGCAGTCCAAAAGAAAGAGACCAAGTGTCGAAAGGGCATTCGAATGTGCATTGGCAAGACGAATTGGATACAATCGGAAGGTCCCCACAATTGGATCATGGCCGTCAGATCTTCCTTCATGTTGCGAGAGTATTTGGTGACACCATCCTTGACCCAGTCAGCCGGGTTCCACGAATGTCCTCCGACAAATTCCTTGACGGCATAGTAGGATGGGAAGTAAATAATGGGCAAATGAACAGTCACATCAAAGAGTACCATTTTCATGGCATCCAAAATCCCGGCCGTATCCTTGAGTTTTTCCGCAAAGGGCAGTTTGGCAAATCGGTCCATGGTGGGGAACCATTGTCGGTACTTGTTGACCATGAGCCAGTATTGGAATCCACCCAGATAGACAAACCCAAATACGACAAAGATGCCATTGCGTTTCCAGTCAATTTCATTCCAGGACTTGCGTTCGGCGACTACTTGGCAGACCAAATCGGCGGCACTGGTCTTGCCCGTGGCGACCATGAGTTGAAAGGCAAAGGGATGTTCCTTGGGAAACGACGCAATGCCTCCACTGGTCTTTTCCACGGCGGCTTCTGTCACAACCTTGGCTTTTGTGGTCGTCGTTGTATCGACGGATGCTTTCAATGACTTGGCCGTCGAATGATAGACACGACGACTGGCAGTGGCCAAGAGCAGCGACGATGATCGGTACATGGACATCATGGTTGGTTGCTGAATATAGTATATCTGGGATTGATTTTATTTTGGTAGATAAAAACTGGAAATGAATGAAAGCCAACAAATAGAACTAAACGTTGTTGCCCATCAACTCAATTCAATGATTACGCAATGCTGTGCCAGCAAGAAAAATATGCGGAGACTCTGTCGTCGTCAAGTCAACGTGGCAGGTTTTGTTGGGTTGTTCCACTGAAAACACCTTTGCGTGCAAGGAGAGGAAGATGGTGCGGTGTCTGTGGGAGAGAAAGAAAAGTTGAAGTGATTGCCTGCGTGGGGCAAGGTGGCGTCGTGACGTGGTCGTTTTTGTACTCGCTCATGTACCGGTAGTTTCGGAAACATGTAGACCTCTCCATGGAGGGTGTAAAGCCGCCTTGACGGCTTGATTTGTGGGAAAGTGAGCTTTCTCGAAGCAAGCTTCCGGATGTCAACCCAACAAACTTCCGGATGTCCTCCTGACAAGCAACAGGGAACGAAAAGCTCTCCAACCGGCCAAGTCATGCCATTGTTTCACTCATCTCATTGTGTGCTGAAACTGACGTGTATGGGAGGTCTTCATTCTTGAGGTCGCTGTTCTACGGTACATGTAGGCTTCAATCCTGTCTCTCGGGAGTCCCCGGCAATCAGCCACATCAAGGTTTTGGACGATGGACCTAGCACGAACCATAATGTCATGACGCTGAAGAAGAAGGAGAGAGTTTCCTTCTTGTAAGAGACAATGCACTGCTGGTAGAATAAGATCCATGTTAGGTCTAGTTGTGGAGTATGCAAGTGATAAGCTGAATGCAAGGGAACCCGCCAATACTAATAACTGCCCAAAAAGGCTGGAGTGAGCAAGTGTACCGGTAGTATCTTACCATCAAGGTCGGGGAACCATGTAAATAGAAGAAGCCCAGCTTTTTCACAGTTTTGACGGCTTCATTTGTGAGAATCTTTTCTCCTTCCGCCCAACCCCCAACTGCTTCCAAAGCTTTCGATTTGTGCTGGCCAAAGATTCAAGTGCAAGACAAACCATTCATTCTGCAAACAGGCTAAGCAAACAAGAAGATAGCTTCTGAAATTTCGGCTGCAGCTGCCAACAAGACGACAGGAACATTGATCCATTCTACGGTATTAGATTGACAAGCGCACAATGACATTGTCGACGCCTCCTCCCATTATTGAACAAGGATCGATTGTGAAAATTCACTCGCTTCAGTCGGCGGGAGGCCAAAAGCTCAACGGAAAGATTGGACTGGCACTGAAAAGGGTCAAGGACGACAAGGGCGACCTTCGATGGCAAATCAGAGTCAAGGGCGTCAAACCCATCAATGCCACGTCCTCCATTAAACCGGCCAATTTGGAAGTACAGGAACATGTCCCATTGCCCGTTGGAGGAGGAAGACCTCGTGGATACGTCGAAGATGTAAACCATGAGGATACCTGTGCCATTCTCTGTGAGTTGTTAGTCATGCATACCGAATTCTATGAACCTCCAGAGACTCGATTGACGGGGTATCCAGCCGCTGCCTTTGGAGAACTTGGAGATCATTTCTCGGCGTTTACCGCCATTCAGGTGAGATAATACTGCTCGAGTCACAGTCACGACACGACAAAATAGATAAATGGAAGATGGAAGCAACCTGAACTGTTTTTCTTACTTTTTATTCTCTCTTCGTCTCATATTGTTACGAATGAATAGATGGAATGGGTGGGAGGCACCTACGCCTTGGCGAATACCATTGACAAGGGCAAGAATCCCGCTTGCGAGGAAGTTGTCTTTGCCATGCTTCAGGCACATCCCATGATTATTGACGTGTTCATTCTCACAATGACCAATACACCTCTCATTGGAACCAAGGAGGAAATTGCCGACAAAACACACATGTTCCACGAATACCGAGATGGTCGACACCAAATGACCCCCGACCAACAAACATCCAGCTATATCCTAACAATGAAAGCTGGACCACTCTTTTTACTGCAACAAGTGGGCAAACTAGACATGGGAGTGGCATTCTTTGCAGCAATGAAACGAAGCAAGGTATTCCCCTTTTTGGTACAACGAATGCTTCGTTTGATTGGTGGAGAGGGCATCGAAGCACCCGATGGCGTAGGATTGGGACCCCAGTGTCGAGAGATTTTACCCAAGTTGTGTGCTGGCATTATTCCGGATACGATTACGGACATGTTTGAAAAGGGACCCATGACACCGGAAAATGGCCTGAAACTACTGGAGCATGTGGCAGAATTTGATGAAGTGGAAAACTTTCGTGGTGCTTTCAAATCGACCATGGGAGCCATGTCACACGGCGCCACCGTGTCCAAGTATCTCTCCATGTTGAACAGAAAGAAATAAGCAAAGAACAACAATAATCAGAGACGATGGCTGCAAAACGAGCAACGTAGAATGGAAGCTGTGAGAGAATGGTCCCTTGGTGGATTCGTCGACTGAATGGATTCACCCCCACGCAGTCAGTACCAACGAACCGTTTGGATTGGTTCTTTTAGTTGAGTTGGTTTGGTAACTGTAGAAATAGGACAAAGAGCACTCAGTCACTGTTACAATGTATGATTAGCGGAAGAACCCACCAACTTGATCCTCCATGGCCAAACTTGGCATCGGGCTGTCCGCATCACTGGTATGTACCGTATCCTTTGCCAATGCCCACTCTGCCTGGAAGGTAGAGATGAGAATGCTGGGTAGGATTTATTCATCACAACCCAAAACAATTAGTGGAATCACTTGGTTCATTGCAGCAAGAACAATGAATGACAAGATCAATATTAATACACTGGCTGCACCACCAAGGTCTGTTTCCATTGGAGGACACCAGAAATTGGGATACTGTCCGAAAACTGGAGCATTTGGTACTGCTTGGTGAAGTCAAATGTCATGGATACTCTTTGGTCATCAGCTTGGGTACAAGTGGATGATCAAATGATTGAAATCACTGTCAACCCCATTCTGCCAGTCAGGAGGGGAGTGTCAGTAGGGGAGTGTCGGTGGCATGCATTGATGGGATTGGCAGCCTACGCAGCTCTGCTGGGTTTGAGTCCAAACTGAAAGGCCCATCGCGTTGGAAGCCGCAGTTTTCTTCTCTTGAGGTTTTCCCATCATGCAGCTATTGCTTCCATCTCAAAACAGAAAATTTGCGCCTGATGGACTGTAAAGAATCGTCCCCACCAGCTCCGGATGACAACGCTGCCCAAGCCCAAGTAGATCTAAGTATTTTCTACAGCAATCAGCATTTATTTCAAAACAGTCTCAATGAAATGAATATTTTATTGACAGGTCTAGCATCGATAAGGTCTCTCATGTCATTCTAAAGCACTACCTGGTACAGTTGTTACAGATAAGCAATGGCACCATTGAATCGAAAGTCAACAATTTTCCAGGTGAGTTCAGCTTCTTCTTCATTGTATTCTCTTTGGAAGGCACAAACATATGAATTTGCCCGGATATCGTCCTCAGAACCTTCCACAACTTCCCCGGTTTCCTTCTTTCTGACACAGTTTATTTGTTGGCACATGAAATGCAACAGGATAATGGGAGACCCCCTATTGACTTCGTCGGGCTGAAAGAATAAATTAAAGACACAGGTTAGTAAGTATCAATCTCGCCATTGATTTCACTGCAACAAAAATATTCATTCAGTTTCATTTTCTTACCTCCACAGCCAAAATCTCGGAATTCATAATCCCCAACACATGAGTATCAATTTGAACTCCTTCTTGTTTCCGTGCCTCCGCTTCCGAAGCAAGTCGTTTGAACACGGCTTCTCCCAACCACGGTTTGAGTTGATTGACTTTTCCTTGCAGGAACCATTCCATAATTTGTGGCAATGTGTATCCCACAACATCTCGTCTCCAATCATCGAGAGTAAATTCAGGATCCAGAATGCGCAATTCCTTGACGGCAATCGATTCGGCCGTTTCGGCCGTCAATGTATCGTAGACGGAACTGGCCCGGTAGACCCACGGATTTTGCGATGTTTCCCAGGCTTCCCGCGCATCTTCTCTCAAATCGTCTACTTTGGCTTTGGCGTCCTTGGCACCCGACTTGACGTATATATCTTCCCCTTTTTCGAGCATGTTCTGAATAATGGGTGCTTCGGTCAATCGTCGTTGCATGCGTTCCCATGCCGTCAAATGCTCGGATTCGTCAATGACCATGATACTGACGGGACCCGTGTATTCCTGATCGCCTTCTGCCGTGGCGTGGGGTGTCAAATCTTGTCGCAATTTTTTATTAATATCTTTGCGTTCTCCCGCTTTGACCAATTCTTGCCACGTGTTACCCACTTCGGCCGTGAAATTGTCAAACCAATTGGCGGCTTGATGGAGTATGTCTTTACTGCTACTATCGACATCCCCGCTGCTGGTTGTGTCTTTATTGTTTTTCAGTCGATTGACAGTATCACGAAGAGAGTCTCCACTACTCGATTCTTTCGTATTATCATCATTTTTGACTGCTTCTTCCTTGACGTCTTCTTCTTCCTCCTTTTTCTTGTCTTGCTCTTCTTTGGGAGGGGGAGAAGTGGCCAAGTGACGACTCCACACGGATGGGAATCCCTTGTGTTCCTTGGCCAAAATAGATTGCTGGAGTCGAGAAGCAGGTAGAATTCTGGCGGAAGAGTGGGTGGTAATGGCCCTGCTGGCAAGGATAGAGCGAGAGCCCTGCAGGAAAAGCCGACGGGAAGGAATCATGTTGGTTTGGTTTATGCTATGAGCTGGTATGGATTATTTTTGTCAAGAGTTGTTGGGCTTCTCTCCAATCTTGAAACTGCAGCGATCTCTGCAAATCCTTTTTTCTTTGGCCTTCTGCTTTCTCAATTCGTGGTGTGATGCAGTTGGTTGTGTGACTTGTGTGGTGGCAGCCGAAAGAACATTCCAGAAGAACGAACTTCTTGGAGGATTTAGACGTCTGGCCATCAACCGTGATTTTCCCACCACCAACCAACATCGCCTCTCACTTTTTCTTTGTTGCAACCCTCGCTCTTTGGTACTACTGTAGTACCGTATCTCCTTCAGCACTCACTCTGCAAGCTACTAGCACAAGCTCAGCTATCACAAATCAAGTAACTGAGAGCATCAAAAGCCACAAGAAAACATCAACCATGCCCAAGTCCAAGCGTACCAGAGTCGGTAAGTTTAATGTTACATATGAACGGGAAATCCAAAAAGAAATAGAACGATGGCCTTATCCCATTTCTCTCGTTTTTCTTTCTTTTTCTATTAGTCCACTTGACGGAAACCAGCAAACGGTCTACCCGCGAGCACAAGACGAAATACATTGACGAAGTTCGTACGGCGGTGGATAAGCATGATACCCTCTATCTCTTTTCCTTTGAGAATATGAGATCCAACAAATTCAAACAAGTCCGCATGCAGTTTCGCGCCAACGACATGGACGAGGCTCCCTCTCGCATTTTCTTGGGCAAGAACAAATTGCTCCAAGTGGCGTTGGGGCGAACGCCCGAGGACGAATACAGTGACAATCTACGACAAGTCAGTAAGCGGATTACCGGTGGATCGGTCGGATTGTTGTTTACTTGTCGATCTCCCGCGGAAGTGGAAGACTATTTTGCCAATTTGTGCGAACCCGATTTTGCCCGTGCGGGGTTTGTGGCGCCTCGTGCGGTCACCATTCAATTGAAACAATTGGCGCATTTCCCAGTCAGTATGGTGGAACAATTCCGCACGTTGGGTCTGCCCACCAAGGTGGATAATGGCACGATTATCTTGATGGATGGGAAACAGGAACATCGAATCTGTAAAGAGGGTGAAACACTCAGTGCGGAGCAGTGCAAGTTATTGACACAGTTTGATCAGAAAATTGCCGAATTCAAAGTCAAATTGGAATGCCGATGGACTCGTAGTTCGGGACAGTTTGATCATCTTTAAAAACGAAAGAAACGACAAACAACAACGTACGGTACTGGCTGGCAGTGGAGATGAGCACTGGTGGAAGGTGCTTTTACCCTACGGAGAACGTGCGAGAGGAATCAGACTGTGATTTGTAGGTAGTGTCTATTTATTTGCAATTTACTACAGTCCCGGTGACATTGGTTAGTTCGCTATCTTTTCGTCCAATAAACAATCTCAAGTGATGGTATGGTTTTCATTCGACCAGCATATATTATCTTAGGCATTCTTTGGCTGCCCTGCTACACTGACCAGATTGATGCAGTATCGGTTTCCGCTCTTGTCTGGAAGGTTATGGCCAAGGTGTGTCTGAGGCAGGTGTACAGGTGTACATTAGCAAAATATCAAAGATGAGAATCATTCGTTCACAAAGTTCAATGTCCAATTCAATTCAAAACTAGTGTAGCAGAACTTACTCCATCCACCGACACGGTCTCTCCCGAGTTTCGTAGCACTCTCACATTTTCCCACACCACTTCTTCGTCTCGAAAGGAAGGCCATCCGTGGATTTGACTCTCTCGAACGAATTGCTCGGGAGATCGATTCAACGGAGCCACAAAGAGGGGTTTGCCAGTGACGGAATCGTAAAACGTAATGGGCCCCTTTGCACTCATGACTTGTTCTTCAAAGGAAGTCCTGGAGAAATATCCACCCATTTCGGCAAAGTGGCGACTACAAGAGGGAAAAAATGAAACATGAAACAGAAGCAAGTGTGAGATGGTTGGTTCTCAGATAAATGAGGGTAAACGTAACAGAACCAACCGAGACGCACTTACTTGTAGTTGCAAATCTTGTCGGCCAACTGGTTATTAACGCCATATAGCAAATCAGATTGCACTGGTTGCTCGCTTGTACCGTGAGTTTTCTACCGTACGTAGAAGGGTACATTCAGGTAGTATGAAAAGTAGGTGTGAGACGCATCGTAGCCAGAGATTCACCAGGGAAAATCACAATTGTATCGAACTTGCCTGACTCATGATGGACTCGTCTCCAAACTGAACGGAACCACCGACCTTCACGTCATCAGCAGAAGCCACAGTTGGAAGAGCTCCAGCCACGAGAGCCAAAACAGACGATTGGACAAAAGATCTGCGTGCATTCGGCGGTTCCATGTACAAGGCCGTGGTCAACCTTTCTGCCTTTTGTGGAGCACTGGCAGAAAAGGCCATGCACGATGCCTCCAATGAGGCAACGAAAAGGCTAACAAGCAGTAACTTGGAGGAGTTCATCATCATCGTCTTCTTGGAGTCTTCGTCTCGAGAGTTTGTGGGCATGTGGTGGCTCGTTGCCTCGAGACGAAAAAACAGAGCTCAGTTTGGGGACTGAGTCAGCATCGTGACTCCGTAAGTCACGAGACTCACGTTTCCTGCAAAGCTGCTGGAAGGATCAGAGCAAAGAGTTGGATCTTTCGCGGCAAATGAGCTCCCGTACAACATCAACTGAAGCGATCGCCAAAAGAACAGAAAGACTGGCAACATGGCAACCACCAGTCCCACGCGGGAAGAAAGATAGATCCCAAGGATCCAGCCAGGTCTACTCTTGTTATGGTACAGGTACCATGGTACAGAGTTGATTGGAATGCATCCATCCAGTCGCCAAAGCAAGCTGGCAAGATGCAAATGTCACCAGAGAAAGCTCAAAGCTTCATAGGAGTGCTTTTAGTACAGTAGAAACCATACCACCGCCACCAAGGCCAAGCCCATGCCTCCTTCTGTACTAGCTAGCTACTCCAGTAGAAAACTGAAAAGGTTTCTTTCGATCGCTCCAAGACACCCAGTACCCTTGATTAAACTGGTGAATTTCTGCATGACCAAGAGATCGATAGATACATACATGGAGATCATTCAATTAGCTGCAAGATCCAGAAGAGTCAACATCTGATTCTTTGTTTGCACAAATTCAGAAAACATACAGAAAAACATACAACCATTACTACCTCACGATGGTTCAAGTCCGCTTTGCCGACGTTTTCGCAATTCTTGCCGCCGTGTCTCCATTTGGAGCACCCTCTGTTCCAGTTCTGGAAAAGACTACCGAAAAAGGTCTCGACTATGCCATTTATCTTCCACCCAACTTTAACCCCACTCAATCCTACAATCTGCTGGTGCATCTCCATGGGGCAGCCTCGCCCTACTTTTTCATGCTACGGGAACTCAGGCTCACGGGAGAACTCTTGGAACAACATTCCGTTGACAACCTCATTGTTCTGGCACCTCATGATGCCACCAAATGGTCCCTCTGGGTCAATGGAGACACCATTGACATGGCCACCCAAGTCTTTGATGAGCTGATTCCACAAATCAAACGTGAATATAACATTCAGAAACAGTTCCTCCAAGGATTCAGCATGGGAGGATTTGGGGCCGCTGTGCATGGACATCGCTTTGATTCAACAGTGGTTTGGGATGGAGCCTTGCATGATTGGGAATCTCTTGAGAACATAAATCTACCCTATATTCAACACCAGTTTGTCAGGACCAACTTTACAGTGCATCCCTACACGGGGACACCTCCAGCCAAGTCACTCCTCATTGGTGGCTCTTTTCCCAGTACAAAAGCCCGGAGTGAAAAATGGAACCAGTACATGCAGTCACAACCAGCAGTGGAACATGAGTTTATACCAACCACATTGCCGCATACATACCGATCGTTTGCGCTGGAACATTTTGACAAGGCCGTGGCACTATGGAATTGATGGATGAGTGAGGCGCTTTTGGTTACTTTGCACAAGATTGAAAGGGGCGCAGCTTATGGAACTATTATGTACGAAAAGCATTCTGGACAGCCATGATGGGTTCTCGAACTGTGCGTATTTTCAAAAGCTTCAGACCAACCACAGTTCCAATAGATGCCCCTTTCCCCGGTCCCTTCAAGCGGCGTACACCAGCAATCTACATCCGGATTCGATTCGATACAACCAGCCTTGATAACCTTGGTCAAATTTCATTTACTAATAAATATCTAGAGCTTTGTTACCGATGGGTTTGGTCCCCATTCGTTGCCGTCCACACAATGCATTCTGTACCCCAAATAAATAATCAGCCTTACCAATATGTGCAACAAGAACGAGTTTGACAGGTCAGCCACTCTCCTCGCCTGCCTTGAACTAGATCCTCAGGAGAAGGAGCCGATACCGTACCATTACCGGTAGCCTTTGGTAGTATCTGGAGAGAAGCAGTATTTGGAGAGAATTTGAAAAATTGCCCCTGCTAGTAACACGCTGTCTCAAGGCTATCTAGCTAAACTGGTATCTTGAGTCGCCACACAAGCAAATCTGGAAACGAGCATGAAGCCGCATGTCTCTTGTCGAACTATCCAGCTGATTGTTTCTCTGTCCACAGCTCTAGCTCCCCTCCTGACGGACGCAAGTCTTCCTTCATCTTGTTCTTGAAGTTCCCTCCAAGCCAGCTTTGCCAAGCGCTGGCCAGTCTGTTACGAAACTGTTACTCGCGGCATTTCTTCAAGAGAGGATCCATGGTATTCTGACGACAATGCCTCCATATGTTTGCTTTGGAACTCAACTTTGGATGTAGAGAGAGCATGTTGGAAGATCAAGTGCGCACGATAAAAATTGAAGGATCCGCCAATGAGAAAGAGAACAGAACCTAGGATGAACTGACTCCCCAGGTAGTGATAGAGTTGATGAGCGTCTTCCTCTGATTCAAAGCTCCACAAGTAGGGCACAGACCCAGAGAGAAAGAGTGTCGACCCAATCAAGTAGCATACGGCTGTGAGATTGGCATAAAGAGCAGACGCCCGTGTTGGAGAGTCAAAGATTTGAATCGCATTGTAGACTGCTCCAAAGATGAAGAGCAGAGATCCAGCAATGAAATTGTAGGCTCCAGCTCTGTAGGCACCCACAGAGGGAAGAAACTGATAGCTTCCCACAATAAAGACAAGACCTCCTGCACAATACGTGCTGGCTGCCAGCACGTCCACAGTCTTTGGATCAGAAGCATGCATCAGCCTGTGGAGATCATGACCAGACACAATCAAGTACAAGAAGGATCCAATGATGAAGAGCCAGGATCCAATATGGATATACTCTTCGTACTTAGGCAGAAAGAGGACTGACCCAATGATGAAGATGACGCCTCCTGTCAAGTAGCAAATTGCATTGAAG